TGATGCTCAATAACACAGTGTTGTTTTAATTCAAATTTCTATTATAACTGATTGTAATCAATGTCTGTGAACCACACTGGACTAGAGCTGGAGGGCAAGAATCCAGGCCTTCATTTTACACAGCCTTCATTTATATATATTTATACTATAAATGCATATATACTTATATATGTATGATTATATATCAAAGTAGTCAAGCAATATTTATTTGCTAAATTAGACTGTGTTCTCCCTTCTAACTATACTGTCCTTTGACCATGTCACATCTGTCACCCGTCTCTTTGGTCATACCATTCCAAGCTCCTCTACACAGCCTTCCAAAACCACTTAAGCCAATGCTGATCTTTTCCTCAAAATCTATTAGAGAATATTACCTGGTACAGTACCTTGTGTAAAACATTCTGTGGTATTTGCTATGTTTCCCTAGATTGAACACAACTTGTCCCAACTAGACAGTATCCTCAACAGCAAGGTGCAGGTCAACTCCTCGATCTACACCCACTCAGCACTGCACTGCTCAGGGAAGTGGCACTCAGTACACTGATGGATTAAAATGTCATGGACGGGACTTCCCTGATGGCACAGTGGTTAAGAATTCATCTGCCAATGCAGAGGACACGGGTTCGAGCCCTGGTCCGGGAAGATCCCACATGCCGCGGAGCAACTAAGCCCGTGCGCCACAACTACTGAGCCTGCACTCTAGAGCCCGCAAGCCACAACTACAGAGCCCGCATGCCACAACTACTGAGCCCGCATGCCTCGAGCCCATGCTCCGCAACGAGAAGCCACCACAGTGAGAAGCCCGCACACTGCAACGAAGAGTAGCCCCCGCTCGCTGCAACTAGAGAAAGCCCGCGCGCAGCAACAAAGACCCAGCGCAGCCAAAAATAAATAAATACATTTTTTTTTTTTAAAAAAAGGCATGGACAACAGAGCTCCACCCGGACAGACAGCTAACAGTAACCCACTTGGCTCGCCAGCACTGGCAGCCCTCTCAAAGCCACGACTTGGCACAGCACCTATCCTCTGGGGTGAAGGGCAGGAGAGGATGGCTGCTCACGGGAGAGGGAAGACCTGCACTCTGCAGGGCCAGGTCATGCAACAGCTGGCCTTCAGCTCTTCGGTGACACAGAGAGAGAAACCAAGAGACCACTTTATGGTGCAGATGCAGAAACCAAAGCCCTTTCCAGGTGAGGTGTTCCAACAATCGTCCCAGAGAAGTTCAGGCCCAGCTTGCCCAAAACCCAAGTTCCCCAATCAAGAAGCCTTTGCTGCATCCAACCGCTTACCTAATGATGCTTCTCTCTTCACCTCAAACATGCCCATCACAGGAAATCCCTGAAAATACCCAGGTCACTCACTTAGCTGTCATAGGAAGGAATCAGAAATTCAAACAAATTGGGGAAGGAAAATGCTCTTCTAGATTCCTTTTCCTTCACCCGGCCCTTGACTGTGAAAGTGTTCCCAGGGCCTCTCCGCGGCCCCTTTTCACTCTTCACGCTCTCCAGTATTTTCATCTGCAGCCTAGAGACTCAACCAGTACTAACAGACGAGGAATTCCCCAATCTCAGTCTCCCAGCCCGACTGCTGGTTTTGAGCTCGCAATGGGCATATTCCACTACACCCCAGCTGTCTCAGCAGGATGAGTTCAGCACTCCCCTCCCTCCAGGCGACCAGCACCACCCCCTTGTGGTTGCGCTGCCTGCCTCGGCCAAGCGCACCTCTTAAGCAGAGACCCGGGCCACTTCAGTTCCTTTCTCCTCTCTTACCTCGGACACCAGGTCTGACCCGTCCTCCCTCCGAAATAAGTAGTCCTCGTAGCCCCACCCAAGGCATCCCCACACCAAGGATCTCCAAAGCTTTTTAATACTCACCTTTATTATTAAAAAAAAAAACTTGAGCATACATGTACTCCAAAATATGTATTTACTTACCAATTAAAATACATGTGCTTCTACAGCAATACAGTAGGATATTATAAACCATAATAAAAGTTTAAACTTTAAAATATGAGTTTAAAAAATACATATAGAATTAAGTCTAATATTTTCTTCCTACACTCCAGTGAGTTATTTTATACATCCCTGGGGTCCAGGAAGCTGTACTTTGGAGACTGTTTACCGAAATTAGTCCTATAATTGTGTGTTTATACATGTATGTACTATGTATATTTGAAGCAGTTTTTCACTCACATACACACATTTCATGATGAGATGATATACACACGCTTTAGCATACTGCTAAATATAGCTAACCTTAACCTTATCTTCCAAAGCCACAAACCCAAAATAAAGCTTAGAGGCTTTTTTTAAAAATTATTTTATAAATAAAACTCTGTAAAAGTCTCATAATTAGCCATCTTTAAAAAGATGTGAAATTTACAAAGTACAGTTTAGCTCCTTTTGCATACAGCTCCTGAACAAGGGATACCACATTTTTTTCACCCATCTACTGACATATTTGAAGGCTGCTAATGTTCTGGGGGTTTCACGGACTGCACCTCCTGTAACCTAGATACACACAATTTTTTCAGTTTTCTACAGCTACAGATACTGCTATCATTTCAGGGTTCTGAAGACTAATGTACTCTTCCCTACTCATACTCCTATAAGCCCACCCTCCGGACCCCGACTCCCACCTCTGCAATAGCAATATAAAAGGACAAAAATCCCACAACATATAACCAGTCAGAATAGACCTGCTAACACAATAAAAGAATTTACATATTTGCACAATATGATCTTCTAGAATTCTACTGACAACCTGACAGCTCCTAACTCTCCATGCAGAGTGGGGAAATCAGTCCACATGAATCCTCTCAGATACTAATTCAGCTTGATACACGTTCAGAAATCACAATTCTCAGAACTTCAAAGTTCTGAAGCTTTTACCAGTTAGATGTTTCATCTCATCACTCCAGCAGAGTACTTAAGAACAAAACCAGTGCACTTACAAAATGATTTTTAAAATATATATTTTCTTCAGATACAATTATATTACCCCCGACGCTGTAAGCCACAATTTGGCAAGAAGCCAAGCAATGAAGCTATTAAGCGGCAAGCATTCCATGAAAACTAGCACCACCTGAAACTGTTAATTTTCACTATTTTTTTAAAGTGACCAGATGTCCCCAGAGTTTCTCCAGGCGTTAGGAATTTATCGACCCCAATATAGAACTACATGGTCATTCGGTGATGCTAATCTGGGGCAGCTTTTAATTATACTGACCAGAAAGTTGAGGAGAAAGCCACCTAAATCCAGTGATTTTCAATACTGCTGATTCTATTCTATTCTGTGCACACACAGAATATTGGGAAAATAATCTTAATAGAGAACTTAACATTCTTTTAAAAAGAATCGACATTACAAAAACTTAACGTTTTAGGCCTGTGAAGTCAACATACATGACTTAATTTGGAGTTTGTTTGCTTTCTATTCACAAGAGTAAAGTATTAACCACATCCCCTTGTCTTCTTAACTAGGGAATGAATTTTAGGGTGAGTAAAATGGCTTTCCCCTCAAACACCTGTAACCAAAATATTGATTTGTTTCATGTGTTTTCTATTTATCAGTTAATCATCTTCAGTCCCTCATTTATTATCAATCAATGAACTAAAATTATTTTCAAATAGAACATTTTAGTGGGACTCTTAAGTAAGCCCTGACCCCGTGGGCCTAGATGTCCACAAAGCTAGAAGAGGTAACTTGCAACTAAAATCCCTTAGTCATTTCTAAAGTGGTCTATTACACAACCTATTGTAAAGGCTGGATGTAGTTTAAGAAAGATGCCTAATCAAAATTCAATAAGCATTTGTTATTTTTGTACAATCAAAACAACAATAAAAAATAATCCAGTAATTCTACCCACCTATTTCTGTGGAACGCAGATCCAAAGAAACCTTACTAATAACATTACCAATCACATGCTGAGACTTTTTAAAAAATCTTTTTAATATACCAAGAAGGAAAGAAAAGGAGTTAATATTTATTGAGCATCTACTCTAGGTGTCTTCCATTTTACATTTGCTTTTCACTACACTGCACTTTTGCAAAGTTACTTGTGGTTCAAACATGGGTTGCTAGACCCCACGGGTTGTCTTCATACAGGTGGATGACCACCTACACTCCCTGTGCCTCAGTTTCTTCATTTGTAAAACAGGGATAAAAACGGCACCTACCTCGTCGGACCGGTTCCGGGATTAAACGAGAAAATAAAGGTAAAGTGCGTAGAGCTAAGCTTGGCCCTTACTGTCGTTATTATAACAGTTACTAGTTTTATTATTAGTGTAGGTATTGTTCCCATTTTACAGATGGGGAATTGGAACCTTAAAGAGCGTAATTTACTAGCGCTAGGTTTTGACTCAAAAACACAAATCTGATGAAACAAAAATTGCTCAGGCATTAAATACTAGCATTCTTGAAAATTCAACTTGTTCTGAGGCATAAGGAACGGCACGAATCAGGCACAGGTCGGGCATTAGCCCTGGACACCGCCGCGGCGTCTACACCCAGCATTAGGGCAAAGGGCCCACAGGACGCGCCGACCCCGCGCCCCGTTTCCAGACGGCTCAGCGACGCCCCAGGCGCAGAACTGGAGCCGGGGGTGAGTCGTCCCCGCGTGGAGGCCCGGCAGCCGGCATCCCGGGGCAGCCGGCGTCTCGGGGCAGCCGCCGTCTCGGAGCAGCCGGGGTCAAGGCCACTCCCCGGACGCCGGCCCGCGGAGGCCCGTCCGCGCCTAGCCCGCGGGGTAGTGCCCACGGCCGGCGTCCGAGCGGAGGGTCCCGGCCCCGGGCCTCCGCGACCGCGGCTCGGGAGCGAGGGCAGAGCCCGGGCAGGCCAGCGCCCTCCGACGCCCCCCGGCCGGGAAGGTCCGGGAGCGGGCGCGGCCCGACTTCCTCCCCCGCCCGACGACTGGAATCCGCCCCGAGGCCGCGGCCCCCACGCCTGCCCCGCGGCCCTGGCCCGGCCGCGCACCGTACACGCCGCCCGCCCAGGCCCACCTTCTCCCGCGGCGTCCAGCCCGCGCGGTCGGCTCAGCCTGTGCTCCGCGGCTCCCGCTCGGCCTGTCCCCAGGGCTGGCTTGGCCTCCCGGGCTCGGGCTCGGGCGCGGCGGCGGCGGCTCCGCCTCCTCCTCTCGGGCGGGAGGAGGAAACTCAGCGGCGTGGGGCCGCCTCCCGGCAGGAAACGACCCCCGCGGCACCGCCTCCCAGGCGCGGCGATCCCGCTCCTCAGGCCGCCGCCGCCGCCCTCTCCCTCCGGAAGCGCATTCCTCCCGGGCCGCGTCAGCCGTGCCCGCTGGGGGAGGGGGAGGAATCGGGCAGGGGCGGTGCGGGACCGGGGGAGAGAAGGGGGCCCCCGGGACAAAGGAACGGCAGGGTCGGGCGACAGACTCCGCCGCGGCCTTCGCGGTGCCTCAGTTTCCTTTGCTGCCGGGAGAGGGAGGGTTTGCGCGGCCCTGCGCGCCGTAATATCCTCCCGTGAGGGAATTCCGGAGCCTCCTTCTTGGCCTGTCTTAGGCGCTGCTTCCCCAAAGCCCCACGTGTGTCCGGCTCGCGGTCCGTCCGGCTGGCCCAGGACTGCCCGGTTTTGAACCCTGGAAGCCCTGCCTCCCGGGAGCCGCCTCAGTCCCCGACAAATCGAGACACTTAGTCACTCACCTTGCAAGGCTTCGTGGGACCAAAAACGTTTCCCTTTTGGAAGGGAAGTGGCTAAAGCCGGTATTATTTTTCTGGCGTGAGGATTTGCTTGACTTATGTCTTTGAGAAAGGGGAAGACTCAGGGAGGAAATGGGTGCCAGGAAAGATGGAGATGAGGAAAGTTTTAGAGAAAAACTGGTGAGTTGGGGAGCAGCTTTTGTTAGGTTAATCTGGGGCACAGGGATGAGAAGGAAAAGTTTCATCCTTGATACAGTTTCTGTTCATCCTCACTTTTTTGAGTAGGTGGACAGGGGGCTGGAGAAGGGACATTTAAGAGAAGTGAAACATTTCATTATGAGCATGGCTGGGCGCATTTTGATAAGAGGATTGAAACTTGTGCCAACCGGCATCATACTGAAACCCGGTAACTCAGAATATGCTGCTGGCAGGCTGCCATTCTGTTAGCTGAAAATGTGTGTTGCCACGTGGTGAGCTGTAGCACCCTGTTGGGCACAGAACTCGAATTATTAGATTTGTGAAACTGGTGTTTCATTTGGGGGAGATTAGAAGCCGCGATGCCCATTTGGCTGCCAATCTTAAATAAGAGAAAACAAAACAATCCCATCTATGGAAATTTTGCCCGTTGCTCGCCAGCAAAATCGAATCTGTTGGTTAGATAATCTCTGGAAACCTCTAAAGAAATGAGAATGATTTTTCCCACTTAATGGATGACCAAACCTAAGAGACTAAATGATGTTTCCTTATTTGTGGAATCTAAAAAAGGATACAGATGAACTTACTTACAAAACAGAAACAGACTCACAGACATAGAAAACAACCCCATGGTTACCAAAGGGGAAGGGGGGGGTAGGATAAATTAGGAGTTTGGGATGAACATATACACACTACTATATATAAAACAGATAAACAACAAGGACCTACTGTATAGCACAGGGAACTATATTCCATAACTTATAAGAACGTATAATGGAAAATCTGAAAATATGTATATAATATATATCATAAATATTATATATATAACCGAATCACTTTTCTGGACACCTGAAACTAACACAACATTGTAAATCAACTGTACTTAAAAAAAATAAAAAAATAATGTTTCTATATTAATAACCCAGTGGTGCGGCTGCCATCACACCTCAACATCCTTGAATTTAAAGATACTGGTTATACCACTCCAAAATTGATCAGAACTGGCCTGGTCTCAGCATAGATTACAGTTCCAAAGGTAAAGCGTAATTTATCCATGCTTGACTTGCACTACATTTCCCAGAACTTTCATCCCTATGTGATTTGCCACAAGAATATTAAGAGGTTCACATTTACACAACACTAAACTAAATTATTTCAAAGGCAGTGTAATCATCTTTTTAATCCCAGTGTCAAACACTGTTCCAGGTCACGCAATAGGGGCTCAGCTAATAGTTGATAAATGACTAAATGGGTCCTTTTGCTCCCCTGGGACCACATCAGAACATTTGGCTAAACTAAAGTGTGAGAAGCAATTTATGTACAGAAGTCATGAGCTTTGAGGAAACAAGAAATTAAAGAAACATGTCATGAATATGACTCCACTTGTTTTTAATCACATGATTATGGAATACAGAATTGGGAGTGGGAGTGAGTCAATGTTGACTCAGGAGTGGAATGCTGTCTTTCTCTTGTAGTTTGAACACTTTTGGGACTCAGCCTGTCAAATATTATCCTGTCCAGTAAGCCACAAATCATCCCATGATAACTTGAAGCCTTTTCAATCTTTTGAAAGTGGAAAAGCCTCTAAACTATAACATTTTACAGGCAAATATTTTAGTACACATTCATTTATAAATGATTTTCCAATTGCAATAATCATATCACTTGGGCAAGACTCCATGGGGTTAGAGCAAAGGGTGAATACCCGCATTGTGAGAACAGGAGTATACCCAAGACAAAAATGTTTTGGTCTTGACCACTGGCTGGCACATTATGGCTCAACCCATATCAGATCAGTTTTAAATAAACAGTGTGGGGACTTCCCTGGTGGTGCAGTGGTTAAGAATCCACCTGCCAATGCAGGGGACACGGGTTCCAGCCCTGGTCCAGGAAGATCCCACACGCCGCAGAGCAACTAAGCCCATGTGCCGCAACTGAGCCCCCATGCTGCAACTACTGAAGCCTGCGTGCCTAGAGCCTGTGCTCTGCAACAAGAGAAGCCACCACAATGAAAAGCCTGCACACCGCAACGAAGAGTAGCCCCTGCTCGCCACAACTAGAGAAAGCCCTTGTGCTGCAACGAAGACCCAACGCAGCCAAAAATAATAAATTAATAAATAAATTTATTTTAAAAAAAAGTATGACTTTGTGTCCCAGTATGTCCAGATAACCCCAGTTTGTGTGTTGTCCAAGCATAATTATTAATAGCACCCCCTTTCATTCTCAAAAGTACCTCCTGATACAGATGATAGATCGTACCATCACCCTATAAATAAGAGTGTCCAGACAACGAGGGAAAAAAAAAAGTAATTTTAGCAATTCAAAGGGGATACATAGGGACACAATGCAAATCAGATCCCAGATTTACAGGTGAAGACCAATTCCAACACTGATCATCAGGAAAAAAATTGTGTGGGGATAAGTGAAATGAATTAGGCAGCTCCTATGTGATATAGATGCCCTACCAGAAGATTTAATGAAAGAAAACCCTAGAAAGTAGCTTGGCTGATCAACAGACTTGGGTTTTAAATACCATTGTAAAAGTGTGCGATGGCTTCCGGAGCAGATTGATTGCCAGTGGCTAGGTAAGTCTTCAGCTGCTTTTCTAAGAAATGTTTCTACAGAGTGATCTGGATATATTTTTCTCATCTGCCACCTTCTTTAAATATAAAAAAAAAGATGAGCGGATGATGTTAGAAGGAATAGAAGTCTCCGATAATTCCCTATAATACGTATGTGGATGTGCTTCTGAATCATAAATAACTTCATTCCTTTACCTAAGACACTAAACTCTCTCTATTACAGTGTGAATCTCTGTGCCCTGGCTTAAAAAAAAAAAAAATAGCCCTGGGAATGATTAACATTTTGAAAACCAAGGAATGTTGAGATGGTCCTCCAGTTCCTCCTTTTTCTGTCTCCAAATATACAAATAACATACAAATAATCAAATATTGCAAAGAAACTGGAAGTTCACTTATTTTGCAACTTCTTATTTTTGTCCTTGGAACTTTGAGTGAACACTGCTCAATACCCTGTTCTAACTGCCAGAGGAACCATTGGTTTGCCACAAGGTCATCAGCAACTGTGTATGTACGGTATGTGGCAGTGTACTGGACTAGCCCATCCTGAGGCTTTCGTTAGTGCTTTATTCCTTTGCTTATTTAAAAGTAAGCTGGAAAAGTGTCAGAACAGTCTGCCCTTCCAGCTTAGGGCTAGCCACTGAGTCTTTTCCTTTTCTAGACAGTTCACGGTTGCTGGGCTATGGATCTGAATATGGGCCACGTATGAGTAAGGCTGCCTCAACTGTTCAGCTTCCTGTTTTCCATATATAGCGTGCTCATTTTTTTCTTGCTCAGTCCATGGAGTATTGCCTCCGCTGGGTGTGAGCACTCCCCGCCAGCTTTCAGAGGCTGAACATTTTTAAGAGCCCAGAGGGAACAGTGTTTTTAGGCAGCTCTTTTCAGACACTGAGTTTCTTCAGCTGGAGAAGGGAATGTGCCTTCCCAAATAAGAATGAAGACTATGCCAAATGTAAGCAGTTGAATAGTGCTGGAGGTATTTTTAGGAACTGGGGTCACTCAGTACAGGAAATGATGGTGCTACCAGCAACTTATGGCTAGAGACTCTAAAACAACATTATTTCTCTCCTCATGTAAATACTTTCGAGTATCTTGAGAAAATCTGGCAATTTGAATTAGGAGCAGCTGGATTTGGGGCCAGGTTCATCAGGGAGTGGGACAAGTAGGTTAGCTGAAAGGTGTGTTTGTTTGGTAAGTGATACAGCCCTCCTCCCCCAAATTAATCCCCATAACATTTTAGAGAGAGTTCTTGCCGTGTGCCTGGGTATGGGAAACAATGAATCCATGGCCCCCCAAAACTATAGACACAATTTCACTTATATAGATCTGCATTTTTGCAGATAATTCTGGTTTTCATGGGATCTTAATCCCAAAACATTAAAAATCACTATTTTAAACAAAGTCCCTTTTATAGACCAGGAGCCTAAACACATTTCTTTGTTGTTGTGGGCTTGGAATCTTGACTTGTGTGCTAATTAATCTTATCTAAAACAATTTTTTTAAACATCAGATACACCTCCAAATATTTTGCAATAATAAGATTTTCCCTGCAGTGTTATTTAACCTGTAGGAGGTAGAACAGAGAAAGTACAATCTTCTGTGATCAAACCACATGACTAAAGAGTGTGCTGTTTGTGTTTACTTTTCAATGTAAAGTAAATTTCAAAGGAAAACCAGAACATTTTATTTCAAATTTCCAACTTTACATACTAGGACTTAAATGCCTTCAAATTATATCTAAAAATCACCCTGATTGAAAACTGTTGTAAATTTTTAATTAGATTGAGAACAATTCTAAATTAATTTTAAT